GCGATCTGTGAGTTCAGAAATAGCATCGTGTTCATAACAATATGTGAAAACGAGGACTCTCAGATCTGCCCAGCGTTGTGGTCTCTGCATGCTCGTTTGCACCGTCAGACTTACCTCGCTAAGTGGTGTGGTTTCAAGAAGGTAGATGAATGGAGGAGGTGGGGGTTGGGAGAGAAAGGCTGAGCAAAGCTAATGGAAAAAAATGGAAGATAAAAAAATTATGCTAGTGTTTATGTGAAGGATAGTACAAACCGAGGGGAAATGTTTTTGCGCAGATTACTGGAGCAGTCATTGTAGGGGTACATTTTTTAAGATCTGTTCAATTTGAGGTCTTGATTGGACTGAGGTGAAGTAAGAGAGTTTTCAGTAGAAATGAAACCTTGACTACATCAGGCTATAAAAGATGCAGTTCAGGGGTGTTCTAGTGTTTCCTTCCTTCCTTCCTTCCTTCCTTCCTTCCTTCCTTCCTTCCTTCCTTCCTTCCTTCCTTCCTTCCTTCCTTCCTTCCTTCTTCCCCCCCCCTCCCTCCCTCCCTTTCTCCCTCCTTCCCTGGTCAAGTCTCAAACCAGGAACCCTACCTCCTTTACATTCCTTCTCCCAAGGCTGAATCAGGTGCCCTGGGGCGAACTCCCCTGTCATCCTGTATTTAACCTGCAATACATGTACCAACCACATTGCTGTAAAACTGGTCTTTCTGAAATCAGCCAACCAATGGGTCCAGGCTGCCTGTCACCACCTGAGCCAATTAAGCAGAGACAGCGTTGAGTCATAATATACAAAGTATGAGTGTTTATTCCAATAATGCCAGCAGGTCATCCACAAAAATCTGCTCTACCCTTCCCCATAAGCCAGCTGCTTATATTGGGTAGAAAGACAGTGATTACATGGGAAAGTAGGAATTACAGGCATGGAAAGTAGGCAAGGTATAAAGGTTACAGATTACAGGCAATGTGGTTTGGAGAGGGGGCAGAGTCGCAGAGGGAGGGTGCCTCGGGGGACCGGATTGTTTCAGCAACCGAGTTATTAATCCAGGCAGTTCTCAGAAAAGGGGGATGGACTGCATTCCGAAGTTAGCTCCCATGTCCCAGGGTGTACAGCTCTCAGCCCGGTTACAATGTGCTTTCTCTATACAGAACGGAACCATCATGATTGATATTTCTTATAATTATAGCTCGTCCCCAATATTCTATTTCTTTCCCTAACATTTCTAATGATCTCCTTTCTCTGTTCATATTCTGTGGGGACTGGGAGGAAAACCTTATCCTGGCTTATCCCCAATACCCACCAAACACATGTCTGTCAGTAGTTTTCAGTCAATATCCGTTGATTAAATGAATGAGTGATTGGATAATTGTTTATGTGCAGAATGCAAATGGCATAGTAAAACACTTTCCCCAGTGATCCATCAGCTTTACGGAGATTTGATGCCTCTCAAATGGCTTTATATCACCTTCAAAATGGGCAAGATATTAATATATAGTTAGATGAAGTAAAATTTAAAAACATCAGTCTTGATATTACCGCTGTAAAATATATAGTGTGTATGTTTCGAAAACAAAATCTACACCTATTTATGATTTGGAGAGTGCTCCTATTGAGCAATAGTGTTTGTGTTTTAAAACATAATACATGGGAACGTCCCGAGTCATCACTTGAATTGAATATAAATCCCATCTAATCTGGATGGTAACATGCCCCTCGCCTCCATGCATGAATAACAGAGAAGGACTTTAAAAATTATTCTTATACTAGAGGCCTGATGCATGAAATTTGAGCATGGGTAGGGTACCTAGGCCTGGCCGGCAATCAGGGCCGATCTCTGGGGCGACAGGCAGAGCGATCAGGGGGCCCCCACTGGCACCTGCCTTGGCCAGCTTGGCGCTGCCTGCTCGCTGGCACCGCCCCCCACTGCCGCTGGTCGCCTCCCTCTGTGGGGAGACCGGTGGGGCAATGGAGGGGACCCCCACTGGCACCTGCCTTGTCTGGTGGTTAGTGCACATCATAGTGACCAATTGTTCCACCGGTCATTCCGCTGTTTGGCCAATTTGCATATTAGGCTTTTATTATAGAGGATGTTTTATGTTTGTTAGCTTGCTGCCATGAATTTGATTTTCATGTGATTTCAACTTTTTAAGTCAAGTAAGATTTTTGATACAAACACAACTTTAAAACACTGCACCGTGCTTTTCAGAGGTAGGTAGCAAAGGGTAATTCCCGTCTGAGATCCTTACATGTACTTCTTGGACAGCGTATGAGGAAAGAGAGAATCCCAGAGCGGACAACTGTGAATTGTCGTGGGATTTCCCCTGTCCTTTGGGAATTTTGTTAGGTTTCCCGCTCTCCCTCCTATTTTCACTTCGTTTATTTGGAAGAGGTGGCAACAGACAGGGAGGCAAGTGAGGTTTCTCCTCTCAAGTTGGGTTGCTCACCTACGTGTGAGGTGGTTTGCCCACATTCCTTTTTAAAAAGGGAGGATTTCATTCTGGGAGCCCACACCTGTGATCTTCCCTGGTCATGCTGGAGGAGTGGAGGAAGGGGTGCTGCCCTGAGAAGTGCTGGCGGGGAATGCAGACCTGTAGCAGCAGCAGCAGCAGCAGCAATCACAACAACCCTTAGCAGCCACCTGGTTAGAAGACCCTCTTCTACCCTTACAACTGAATCCGACTCCTATAGTTCTTCTTGTCTCATATGTCAATGATGTTTCTTTGAAAACCATGATGGATTGACAGAATGGATTTGGACACTACTAATTTAATATCTCTCAGGGTATGCTCAAGTTGGGATCAGAAAGTGTATGGTGAAAGGAGATTTGATTTTGGGTGGTGGGCATACAATGCAATATACAGATGACGAATCATTGCATTGTACACTTGAAACCTATATAATTTTATTAACCAGTACACCCCAATAAATTTAAAAATAAAGAGATCCCGTGTTTTATTATACAAAAATTTGGAATGAAGCTTTCTATATCTTATGACATTTTTTAGTTTATCTTTAAGTTGGATAAAGTTAGCACGGCCTCCTCCAGACCCCCCAAAAAGCGTGCACACACACACACACACACACACTGTGCTCTTCTACATTCTATTTAGTATCTTAGCCCAGGCGGTTCCTTACGTGTGGATGATCCTTACGTGTGGATGATGCTACCATCTTCTCAGCCTGGCAAATTTCTACCGAACTTTTAAGACCCTACAAAATAGCACTTCCTCTTTTAATCCTGCCTTTGCCCTATCATCCTTTAATCTCCTTTTTTGAATTCTGCATTGTCATAGATTCTTATGAAACCTCTATCGTGGCATTTACTACACTGTATTGTGTGGATTTTTTAAAATGAATGTGAGCACATGTACCCCATCAAGTCCCTAAGCTTTATAGGCCAGTATGAATAGACCATCAAATCAAAATACTGTTTCTTTGATGGCATTATTGCTAAATATAAGAATAGGGATGTGTGTGTTCCATATAGCTTTAAAACCATGAAAATGTGTTAATACGAGGCTACCTAATAATATAGAAAAATGATAAGCATTGGCTGGGGGCGGGGGGAGAATCTTTAGTGTTTGTAAAACTCTACCAACTGTTAATGACTTAATACAACCAGTGATAGAACATAGTCTGACAACTATGCAAAGACATGGTCAGTGTTGTAGCCGTAGAGTTTACTAGTATATTTAAATTTGCATTTGCTTGGCTCCATTTAAGAACATTACCTTTGTATCTCAGTTCATTTGTTAGATTGATTCAGAATTAACTTGTAGTGTTAGGGTAATTTGAAAAACTCCCTTTGCTGAGATTTTATGGTTGAAATGACTTGATTTCATGACACCGATGGATACATGTCATTCACTCTCTAGGAAGAGGGACTCAGGGGGCCAGCAATCTTGTTGGAAGAGGAAGCCTGCAGCTGCGTTTTGGTATCTGTTCTTGGGACCGAGAAGCATCAATTCTTTGTAAAGGAGGCAGGAGAGTCGTGAGAGGAGGGTGGTAATGAAGATTAAGAGCAGCAGCTTGATGCTGCTTTTCCTGCCGTGAGCGTGAGGAGGTGAGGGCCTGTATTACGGTGGGATGGATGGAGATGAATGAATGGGTAGATGGTCCAAAGGAAACATCCGTAAGACTGGAGTAAGTCATCTACAATGACAGGTTACGGATAATGAAAGAGTAAAATAAATAAAAATGAGCAAGCTGAGCAGAGCAAACCCTGAGAATTTGGGCCATGACCTTGGATGGGGTGGGGGACGGTAAATTCACTTAACCAGGGGATTATCTCCTTTGTCGTTCATCAGAGATCAAATGGAGACACAAGACTCTGAAAGAGATGGACAGCTGCTTTGTTTTCTTCACATTTCTACATTGCTCAGTCCTTAAAACATTCAGCTAGCTAAGCAGAAAATGGACAAAAGTAAATTGAAGTCCTTGCCCTCATCTCCTTCCTTCATTCTACAAAACAATGTCACCTCCGGTCAAATAAAATGCTGAATTATTTGCAGAACCCACCAGGAATGTGTAAACTAGTCCATGGCCCAGGGGGAAGGCCACCTCCTCCTGGCAAAATCTGAGAAGCTGAGGTCAGGCCTGCAGGGCAGGATGGGGAAGAAGAACTTTCTCCAGCCGCCCAAATGATATGCATCTGATGAGCATGCTTTCCTAACTCTGAAGGCTTCTGATATTCCAGAACATTACCAAACGTGCTTGCCTGTGTCTGCCAAGTCATAGTACTCCCATATTTATTTGAATAAATAAATATCTATATTTTTATCTCCTTAAAGAGTTCAGCCATGTGTGGTATAGGGTCCATGCCTTCTGCTCTTGCTTGCTGAGCAGGGATCAGGTGGGATGGTCCATGTTGCATTGCGTTCTGCAGGGCTCAGTGCCAACCCCAGCACAGTGAGACCGTGCAGGGATTCTGGTACATTCCTTGTCCCACAGCACAGCAAGACTCCCAGACATGGGCTTTGTCTCACTCATTCTGATCTAGCTTTTGCTTCTTGCAGGTGCGCACATCTCGACCCACTCAGCAGGAAGGCGGATTTTCTTCGTGTTTAAAGAGAAGAAAAATGTCCCCGTGTCTGTAGAGATGATTTGCAGTTCAGCCCGGCTGAAGCTGAGCGAATGAGACTATGGGCTGTGCCTCCGCCAAGCATGTTGCCACTGTTCAAAACGAAGAGGAAGCCCAGAAAGGGAAAAACTACCAGAACGGAGATGTGTTTGGCGGTGAGTGCCCTTGAACTTTAGTCTTGACCTGTTGATCCAGGCCTTTCACTGTCGAGGGAGTGAATCCTTGTAGTGTTATGATGTTATACCATTTGGGGGGTGTTGGGGAAGGGCTGAGATGTGAGAGAAATCAATGCAGATTTCATACATTGGACAATTTTCATTATAACTTATACATAGGGGCCTTCGAGGAGGACCATGAGGGTTTTATGCCAAAGCTAGCATTTAAATCAAGTTTTCAATAGGACATAAATAGGTGTATGGGACAGCATCCACAGGGTGTCCTGGCAGAACTATAAGCCTGAAGACAGGTCCAAAAGTGAAGAGAGTGAGGATTAATAAATGAGAGAGTGAAGCGTTTCGGGGGGGAAGTTGTTAATAGAGTTATTCTTTATATGAATGATAACATTTCTGAGTCACAGATACAAATACAATGAATCGAATAATCATTTTTTGGCCTTTCTATGATGTTTCAAGGTGACTGTAGAATATCCAGTGAGAAGGTCACAGACTGCCGACTTACGGCCACATCTGGCCTGCAGATACAGGGTGCCCGTCAAAAATGTATACACATGCTTTGAATAATTATAAAGACAGTGTCTATTAAAGTAGATTTCAATTTCAAAATGGAGCTGTGAGCTGGTAAAGCGTGTGGATGGCAGAGTGGGTAGCGTTTCCCCTGCATCAGGCTGTCACCTCCAGTGACCACGAAGCCTCCCTGGTGGTCAGTTCACTCACTGCCCAGGGACTTTGCCTGCCCGGCCACTTCTAGGCTTTGGAGTTCACCTGACCTTAAGCTTGTTCCTTGGAAGATCAAGTATCGCTCTGATGAAGTATTGTCTGTGTGTTAGTACAAAATTCCAGTTAGTACAAGGCAGCTGCAGCAGTTTTTATTGAGTTACTTGAGCAGTAACACGCACTAGTTGGCATTTACATGGCACTTGTATTCATAAAAGTACCTCTTGATCTCATGTTTGATCAAGAATCTCATTGAAATAATGTTTCCATGCAATCAGCTGAAGTTGCACTACACAGTCATTGTCACACAATTCTACTGCCTTTAGAGCCTCTAGGCTTTGATCCAGGGTAATTGCTGGTTCAGTCCCTGGGTGACGAGTTGGGAATGCTATGGAAGGCCCAATGCTCTGCTTGTGGTGAACGGGTATACATGGGGAGGAGGATTTTGTTTCTTTAAGAAGAAGTACTAGCCAGGCCAGTTTGGGTCAGTGGTTGAGCATTGACCTGTGAACCAAGGGGTCACGGTTCAATTCCCAGTCAGGGTACATGCCCAGGTTGCAGGCTCGATTCCCAGTGTGGGGCGTGCAGGAGGCAGCCGATCCATGATTGATGCTCTCTCTCATCATTGATATTTCTGTCTCTCTCTCCCTCTCCCTTCCTCTTTGGAATCAATAACAAATATAAAAATTAAAAAGAAGTACTAGTTTCCTGGAACAAGTTTGTTTCTAGTGATGACTACATGGGCTTTCGAGCTATGGAGACCAGGAACACAGCATCTTAATAAAACTAGAATCTAGATCATTGAAACCACAGTTTCTGGGAAAATGGCTCTTTGGAACCTAAACATCCATTTGCTAACTTAGTTACAACTTTTATAGCCGAGAAGACTTTCTATTGCCCGAAAGTACCATGTGTATTTTGCAAATGTTAGTATTTAATAAAGGAGCCTTGTGTTGGGCACTTGTTGCCTCCGGGTCTCAGCGGCATTCAACAGTGAGCACGTCTGTCTCAATCACGAGTTGGTGGGTCAGCTGGAGTGGCTCTGCCCCATGTCTTTCATCTTCCTCCTGGGACCAGGGAGCCAAGGGGGCATGCCCTCCTTTTGCAAAGGGCAAATGCGCAAGCGATACACAGGGTGCCTCTTAAGCTTGGCTTAGAGCTGGAACTGGTACCAACATTCAAGTCAAGTCACGTGAACAGTTTCAGAGACAAGAGACAGAGAAGTACATCCAACCACAGTGCATTCATGGCAAGGGTGCGGATGTAGAGAAGGGTCCAAACTTGAGGCTGATTATCCAGTCCAGCCTGAGCCTGCCCAGTCTGTGTGGCTCCACGCCATCCATGCCCATGCCATAAAGTGCAGCTGTGGCCTCTAACTTTTCTGTATCCTCCTAATACTCATATTGAAGTTTTATTCACTCCTGCATTTGTCATCTCATTATTCTCTCTAGTAAACATTTGCAGGAATACAAGGAGGGAGAGAGCTCCCTAAACCAATCAAGGGACATTTTTTCTTATCCTACAAGGGCCTGGGGGGAGAATTGTCAGAGTCCAGTGTTGCACATCAGTGCCAGTGTCCTGGATACTACTGAATGCTAGTGCTTGAACATCACAAGAGCAGGTCCTATCTGTGTTTCTCCATTGACATTTGTTTGCAAGCAGTGGAAGTGTACAATAGCCAGTATGATCACAGGTGAATGATAGATCTGGATGGACCACTTTTAACCATTTGATATCTTTTTTCTTAAAATGTATTTTTATTAATTTCAGAGAGGAAGGCTGAGGGAGCGAAAGAAAGAAACATTAGTGATGAGAGAGAATCATTGATCGGCGCCTCCTACAAGCCCCTACTGGGGATCAAGCCCGCAACCCGGGCACATGCCCTGACTGGGAATCGAATTGTGGCCTCCTGGTTCATGGGTCAATGCTCAATCACTGAACCACACCAGCCATGCCCGTTTGATATCTTTTGTCACCCATTGTTTCAGTGTAACAAAGTACCCCAAACTTAGTGGCTTGAAGCGGCACATGAATCTATGGGGTAGCTGGGTTTCATCTGCTGTTTTTGCCTGAGCTCAGTCATGCAGATGCATCCAGCTAGGAATGCAACTCGGCTCAACGGACCAACCAGGCTCTAGGCCTCCCTGTCCCCTAGACCTCTTTGTGGCTGGGTCGTCCAACTTTTCACATGGGTGTGTGCTTCTAAGAGATAAAGTAGAAGCCGTCAGCCTAATGCCTGGGCCTGGAGGTCCAAGAATGTCACTTTTGGCACCAGTCACAAGACCCAGCCAGCGTCAGGGGAGCCCAGAGGCTCTCCATCTCCTGGGTCTGTGCCACAGGGCGGGGAGGAATTGTTGGGGGCCTTCTTTGGAGACTGGTCCCCACACCCATTGAGGGAGGCAACGAGAAGTCCATGACCAGATTATATTCCAACCTGGGCAGTTATATTCTGCTTTGTACACCACGCATTCTTTTTTTAATGAATAAAGTAGCCTCATTCACTTTTTAAAAGCTAAATGTTTTTAAATGTTTGAAAATGTTATTACCATGTGTTGCTGACCTGTTGACAAAGTCTGTGAAGCGTGGTGTATTTTGGGGCCAGCTCTGGAGTATGTGTGCGCACACACATTCGATCCTTTTCCTAAAGGTGTTAATTTAATTTTGTAGCTTCCAAGGACATGCTGGGGAGCATTGATCAAGCAATGTGTTTTGACAGATGGTAATTTCTGTTTTTATGAAGCAGTTTGATCTCTGTGATATTTTGGTTTATTTGGGAGACTGACCACTCCAGAAGTGTGAGACAGAGTTTATGTAGACTATGCCACCATGAAGGATTGAGTGAGAAATGGGCGCCTTGATTTCTAGATTTCATAGAATTCAGGTCATCGACGCGGAAATTTACCACTGACATTTACCCAGAGACTTTCTGTCATTTTAAATACCAAAGCATAGCAAGTTTTGGATCTAGAGTTGTGCCTTACATACTGTGGCCCTTTCAGAAGTAAAATCCAGGCCAGAAGCTCATCTCCAGATGGGAATTCCCTTCCCTCATTGGTCAGGGCAGATGTGAAGAATGGCCTGCAGATCTGGGAGGTCATTCAGAGGACAGCTGAGCAGACTGCCAAGACCAGTTTGCATAAAATAAATGACCAGCAAGTTCACGTTATCATAAACGAGTTAAGCAACTTCTAAGGAAAGCCAGGTGCTTACTGGATTTCTTTCAGCAGTCATCCACTTAGTCTATTAAAGTAGGTGCATAGAACAGGTTCGGGAAATGAATATATCAAACCTGAGGTCACTATCTCTTCTGAGCTCCTCCGACGAGGGGAAAACTTGTTAGTTCTGTTGACTTTCCTATTTGCATGAGGATTACCAGTCCAGAAAAGGCTTTCAACCTGAGGACGTTGTCCCTTCCAGTTCCCAGATCCTATGAATCTCAGCTTTCTCTCAGCATCAGTTTTCCTGCCACCACCAGAATTTAGGTTGGGGTAGCTTGTACCCCAGAATAGTGCAGTGTCCTCTCGCCTGATCTCCATGAACCCCCTTTATTGTGTATTTGTTCTTTGCTTGTTTTTAAATGTCCATTTCTTGCACTACGTCAGGTTGTGTCCGATTTTCAAAAGTACACCTGTGTCGTGTCAGTGCTCCTGCTCCAGAACTTTCTATTGCCCCTACTTCTCAGCTGGTGAAATCCTAAATACTCAGTGAACATGGAAATGGCTCACGCCTAACTTTGCAGCCTCGTTTCATACTCTGTCCGTCATGTTCCCTGTCCTCCAGCCAGACTGACAGCTCACCTGCATCCTCATCGCACACTCCCTGTCCTCCAGGCCCCCCGCTGCACCATCACCTCTGCTTGGCCTGGTCCCTGGCTCCTGCCTTCAGCTCCTTAAGTCCTGCTCTTTTCCCGAACTTCACCTAAACTTGCATGAAACTTTCCTAACACCTTCACAAAGTTCTCTCCTTCCTACTGTACTTACACACTGGGTTTATTTGTTTATATGTCTGATCTTCCATTGTGTGTTTATATGTGTCATCTCTGTTAGGAGCTGGTGAGTCCCCCGAAGGCAGGGACTGCATGGTCCTGCGAGGACACAGGATGCCAGGAGCTGGAGGCAGGGCGATCAGGTTGAGCCCTGACCATGTCAGTTCCCCCATATGACCAGGTGACCTTGATTGGTGCTGAGTTTGGCTTAAGGACCAAGAGAGTCTAATGTTTATAAGTACTACTCCCTGAAGTGGAAGTGCTTAGAATACTATAG